ATACCACTTTAAGACATTAATCATATTTGTAAACTTATTATCAACACTATTTATAAGATAAAAACCTCCTTTTTTCACTTTATCTCCTCCTCAACTCTTTTTCCGATAATCCACTTGAAAACTTAAGTCATATTTGCAAACTATACCAGCTCTATTTTTTGGATAAAATCCTCTTTTTTTTCTTCAAATCTGTAAATCAAATTTTTTTTGATTTAGTTACAGAATCTTTGGCAGCTGTTTTCAACAAATAATTATCTGTTGTTAAGAATATTTTAAGAACCAGTTTTGTCAAAGAAATGAGATTACCTCGAAGCTTAAATTTTACACTACTATGATTCTGAAAAATTTAAGGGGGATGCAAAAAGGCAAATATCTTAGGTGTTTGAAAAGTTTTTTTAAAAAAAATTGCGGACTTTTCCATACTTTTTATCCTGATTTTTCCATATATCAAATTCTTCAAAATTAACAAATAATCATCAGTTCTGGTACATTTTATGATCTTAAACAATGTAGGGGTGAAATAATTCTTCGAAAGCTTTTTATTTTTAAATAATGTGGTGGATCTTCCCTTAATATTTGGTAGTTTTTTAGAAGCAGGATATGAAGTCACTGGTTGGGAATAGATAAAATATAATCTAACACTTCTGCACAATGGTTAAAGCTTACTCACACGCTTTTACTTTCAAAAAAATTTAGAGAGAGATTGAGCGATTTCACTTGACATTCCTCACGTTCAAGTATGAATTTTCTGTGCATGCTCTTTGGAGAACCGAGATTGATTTGCAGTAACTGCGCCACGCAGAACATGCGAACATGAACGTGCGTGAGAGACCTCTTTAGAAAAATAAAAGCTTTTTAGATGATAAAATAAAAAAAATTATTGAAAAAAAAGGCTGCACTTCTATTTGTGAAAAACTTTGTTGAAAATTGAGAGTTATTTTTATTATAAACTAATTTTTATCCAAAAGCCTTATAGAAACTCCGAAGAATGATTTGAAAATATAACAAATATTTCAATATTTAATAACAGCCAGTATCTATTTAAGATAAAATTAAAAGTAATCAATTCATATAATAGGATTTTATGAATTGATATGAGTATTTAATTCTCATCCATAAACTAGTTTATGAATATAAACTAGTTTATATCTTATCTAGTTTATATCGTACTATACTTATACATAAATATAAGTATAGTACGTTACAAACAGTTTTGTAACGAAGTTTATACATCATAGATTTTTCTTCAACGCAAATAAATGTTATCAATATTCTTAAAAAAATAGGGATGTTATAAATAATCTTCATTAATTTAATGTAGTTAAATAAATAAGATAAATTTTCATTAATTAAATATAGCTACAATTAATCGATAGTTAATAAAGTTAATCTAAATCTAATAAAATTAATCTATAATTAATATAAAAATAATAAAATTATCCGAAAAATTGCTTAATTTTAATTTTCAAATAAATGTACGGAAATTAATATACTAATGGAATTGACATACTAGGCAGAAATTAGGCACATTTCTTTATTCGTGAAAAAACTTCATTAAAGAATTTATCAATATTTTCATGAAAAACTAACTTATTTTTTAAAAAAGTATTTAGGAATTCGAGGAATGCGTTGAAAACATAATAAATATTTCGATATTCAGTATCCACCAATATTTATTTAAAATAATTTTAAAAGTAGTCAATGAATATTTAATAATCATTGATAAACTAGTTTGTAACAGCTTCAGTACGTCACAAAATGCTTTTTAACATAATATATTCATAGAATTTCCTTGAAAATGAATAAATTTAATCCACATTCTAAAAAAAACTAGGATATTTTAATTAATCTTCATTATTTTAACAAAGATATAATTAGTAAAATCTTTGTTAATTTAATGTAATTTTAATTAAAAATTATCCGAAAAATTACTTAATTTTAATTTTCAATGAAAAGAACATAAAATTGATTTAATAACGGAGTGGCCATATTAAGCAGAAATACAATAAGAATTCATTTAAATAAATAAGGAAAATTACAGATATATTTGTTTTAATTATATAATAGATGCAAATTTTAGTTTTTTGTGCTTAATTCTATTTTTTATTGATTTCTTATGGAATAGGTTACTCTTTCTTTTATGCACTTGAATTTTTATTTTCAAATATACCGTTTTAGAAAACGAACAATACCGGTTGAAATAAACTTTCTTTTGTGGCTATTAACCCAAATGTTTTGACATTGACATAGAGAAAATATTCGAAATGGTGAAGGTTTGATGTAAAGAGTTTCGATAACTTCGTACCATTTTGATAAGAACACACAATAGCTCTTGCTACATTTTTTCTGCTGGTTTCTGAAGGACATTAATTCTTCGTAAATTAAAAACTTATTTTTACGAATAAATGGCCATTAAGAACCGTAAGTGACTCCTATAACTCCATTTAATTCAGGTCACTAGAAAAATTTAATAGCTTAATTTCACCTTTTCTCAGGTTTTTATGATTTCCCTCAGAAGAAAGACCATAGTTTCAAAGTTGTAATAAATTATGCTTAATGGGTAACTCTTATAGTCTATTTCCAAAAAAAAATTATTAAAAAAATTGATGCAATTAGAAAAAACTTTCGAAACAATAGTATATTAATAAATAAGACTGAAATAGGCTTAAAATCTAGTATTCTCAAATGAAGCTAGTAAGTTAACTACAGAGCTCCTTGTTCAGATTATATGTTTTTATTTTAATTTCCAGTACTTATTTCTATTCCTTTCATCAATTCTTTAAAATTATTAATTTTAATAATCAGAATTTTAACAACTATAATTTTATTAAAATTTTTAAGTTAACCATTACTTCAAAAAAATTATTAATCACGCTAAACTTAATTTACCTAAAACTATTGATTTTAATTAATATAATTTCAGTAAAAATATTTATTTTATATAATACGCTAATTAGTTTCTCTAAATTTTTCTCTTATTATTATTAGTATTAGTTTATTAGTATATAATAGTGTCAACTTTTTAAATATGTCATAATATAAACTCTCTTCTCGAATAATTTCTTGAAATTATTAATTTCAATAATCATAATTTCTTTATAGTTATAATTTTATAATTACTAAAATTATAAATTTTTAGGTTCATAACTTCACTAATATATTATTCTATATAATCTAGATGATTATTCTATGTAATCTATATTTAAAGAACAAACTGGTATTATAATAGAAATTTTTTTCGACAGGAATTAATTAAATAAACTCTACGATTAATTAATATAGGAAATCGCATTAGAATAGAATACGATTATTACCTTAATATTACTTAATAAAATAGGCACATTTAGAGCTAAATGTAGCAGTAAATTTAAATTTTTAAATTTTTTTTTATAAATGTTGAAATTTAATTGAATTGAGTTAAAAGATAAATATTGAGATACTTTTTTCATAAAACTACCGAAGCAAATTCTAAAAATAACTTTATTAAAATCACTTCCTGGTAACTTTAACTTTTGGACAATTTTTACTAACTTTTTAATTGAAAAGAATTTATTTTAACTAAGCTAATTATTAAATTTAATTTAAATTTCTAATTTAAAATGAGATTAAAATAAATTAATAAGAATTAAAATGAAAATGAATTTAATTAAAAAGCAAATTTCTTTCAAACTATGCTAATAAAAACTAAAAGTTAATTTTATTCAAGGCACTTTATGACCACTTTAACTTTATTTAAATAAATATTTAATAAATTTTAGCTTATTTTGAACTTAGCGAAATTTAGCATATTTCAAACTTAGCAATTTAATTTAAAATTTATAAAGAGCTAAATTGGAAATTGAAATTTAGCTTCCGATTTAAAATAAAATTGAAATAAATTAATACAAATTGAAATTTAATATAATTAAATTAAAAGCAAAAATAAACTGAATTTCCGTTTCATTAAAACTATGCAAACAAAGACCAAAAATAATTTTATCCAAGACACATTCTGTTCTATAAAATATATTTTCAACTAAATTTACTAAGTTTTAGCACATTTTAAATTAATGAAATTTTATACTAAGTTGGACTTTAAACTAAAATTAAATTCAAAATTTGAAGTTAAAATTACATCTAAATTTAAATTTACATTAGGAATTGAAATTAAGTTTAAAACTCAAAATTAAAATTAAGTTTTAGAGTGAAAATTAAAACTAAAATTAAATTTAAAACTTAAAGTAAATTTAAAATTGGAAAGACATTTAAATTTATAAAAAAAATTTAAATAAAGTAATAAATTTTTTTTTATTTAATTTATTTTAACTTAATTAAAAAGCAAAAGGAAACTAAATTTTTATTCAAGTAATTATCCAAGTAATGTTCTGCTCATGAAAATATATTTTCAACCAACTTCACTAAATTTTAGCATATTTTAAATTAAATACAATATAATTTAACTTTAAAAAAGGATGGGTTCAAAATTGAAATTAAAATCAAAATTTAAACTTAAAATTACATACAAATTTTAAATTAAAATTAAGTTTAAAACTCAAATTTAAAATCAAGTGTAAAACCCAAAATTAATATCAAAATTTAAATTTAAAATAAATTTAAAACTTCAAATAAAGTAAATTTGAAACTGGAATGAAATTTAAATTCAAAAATAAAATTGAAACGAAGTAATAAAAATTGAAATTATGTTTAATTTAATTAAAATCAAAAAGAAACCTAAGTTTCATTTAATTAAAACTACAGACACAAAGACTAACGAAAATTTTACTGCCGGCACGTGTCGCTCATTTTAATTTCATATTCATTTCCATAAATCCATCTGTTTGAATTTTTCCTCGTCTCACTTTCAACATTAAGAAACAACATGTGCTGTAAATAAGTTTGAATCATAATTTTCATTTCTATGTTGTAAGTACGCATTATTATTCAGATTTATTCTAGAAGTTTCGATTGCTCAATATGGATTGCTTTAACAAACTTTTAAGCCCGCATATAAATTCAGTTTGACTTATTTAATTAAATTCTTCGTGATCTTGCGCGTTTTAATTATTTTACGTTTAAATTTATACTTTAAATCTACAATTTGCATGCCTTCCAAATAGCTTGATTTTGTAGTATTTCATACCTTAAATTAATCTCCTTATAAGAACTCTTTGCTTTTAATAAGAACTTATTGCGCATTAAAGAAATTATTGATTATTAAGTTCATTTAAATGTGATTTTAATTTCAACTTTATAGTCATTTTTGTGGTTGATAATGTTGTTTTTAAAACATCATTTGATATTATTCTTATCTTGGAATTACTAAATTTTTTTGAGTACTTCAAATATAATGTATTATAGTTTTAACGTTTCCTAGAAAGAATATGCCTTTCGTAAAAAATTTTGAAGGCTGAAATATATATATATTTAAATTTTTTTTAAATATTTTAAACTTTCTTTATATTATAAATTTCAAATAAATGGTGAATTGAAGGCCAGAATAATGACTATCCTTTCTTCGGTGAAATGAAAATTTATTTAAAATAAGGGTCACCCTGGCCTTAATTAGTTAATAAAATACATTTTTGAAGTAAATGAGAAAAATCAAACTTACAGATTTAATCAACCGTTAAGTTTAGTCGTTGACTATTGTACCAAAATTTCTAACAAGTCACTTAAACTTTCACTTTAAATCTTTAAATCTTCGAATGTGTGACATACATTTGAAAACTGAGTATAAAATTTATTTAGTAGCTTTAAGCGAATATCAAATTAATTTTTACAGAATTAATTTTTGTTAACTATTTTATTTTGTTTCTTTATTTTACATTATTTTCTCTATTTTGGAATTTAATATATATTCTGAAAAAAATAAATTTCTAAATAATTCATATATTTATTTTAATTGCTTGCCAGACTCAAACAGTAAAAATGTTTTTTTAGCCTTTCATTTATTTCTTTATTTATATATTTTTCAGGATTCAAATTGTTATCTTATTTCTATGTTTTTTCTACAAAATTCACTGCCAAAGTACAATATGGAATGTAAGAGGAAAAACTATGTATCAACCACAAAGGCTGCATAGCTCAGGTATGAATTTATATATCATTTATTACAAATACTTAAACAGAGTATTTTTATACTATAGGTACAATGAACTTTGAGAGATGCGATTTCGGCATGTTTTTCAGACCTCTTTTTTTCTAAAACTGTATGAATTATTTTGAAATCCTCATACTGTTGCATGAGGATCAGAAAGCATAATTATATATATATATATATAGAGAGAGAGAGAGAGAGGNTATATATATATATATATATATATATATATATACATTACAAAATTTGAAGAAAATTTTTTAAATTAGCAAATTAAAGAAAAAGCTGCGTTTTTACATAGTTATAATTATAATTTGCTTTAAATTAGCTGGTGTTTAGCACGAAAAGGCTCTCGATATTATATTTCCATATTGTTCTTACTTTTTTATTGCATGTATTCTGTCTACTATCATTTACTTTTATTTAAATTTAATTTACTGACAGAAGGCTTTCAGCATTTTTAGCAGCTTTTGCGACCACACTCACCTAATGGGAAAAAAAGATATTTGTTTTGTTGTCAGCTTTTTGTGTCCCAAATAATTCATTTACTCACAAGTGCACTGTTAGAAATTTCTTGGAAAAATGGTTAAATGACTATTTATTTAATTGTTATTTTACTATATTCAAATAAAACAATCAAATAACCATAAATAAGACGGCAACTGTTAACTATAACAAAAGCCATTCATCAACTGCTTTCAGATAATACGGTTAAACAATCAGAATTTTATCGCACCAACTGAGCCAACCTAATGAAGCCACTTACTTTATTGCAACTACGTACATATTACAGACGAGAGGGCCATAGTTTGTCTAAGCTAAGAACTCCTCCCGCCACAAAGTCTGAGGCCGTCTAGGGCTATGTAAACAAGAATGGGGACATTTTAGGGAGGGTAGCTTCACTCTAGGCCTAACGCAAGAGACCGAAGAAAGAGGTTCATTTTCTCTCGCCGATCAGAGCCGAAACCTCTCCAAAACAGTGACCCCGCACCCCTACATGAAATAGTCATACCTCGTTACCATAGTCACCGCCACAGGTCCAGACGAATGTCTGGGGGAGTTCTTATTTTTGACAAACTATACTTTGTCAGTCAGTCTTATAACTGACAAAACAGGGAGAGGATCGAGTCCCAAAGTAGATACTACAATATTTCCTCCATTCCCTTCACCCCATGAAGAGTTTCCCGTGTCATATACATTCAGGCACATAACGTTCTAAATACCAAAAGATTATTTTTTCTTAAAATAAAGTTTTGAAAAGACAAATATCAGTGTGAAGATTTTAGTATCAATTATTTTCGTCACGTTGAGATTTCGTTATCTTTGTCCTCCATAACAAAATTTTAAACCCAATACTTTCGCTCTCAGTCTCAAAATTTCAAAAATAATGCTTCATCACCAATATCAAGGATTCATTGCAAAATCCTTTATCATCGACATCAAGATTAGATTCCAATATCATATTTTGCTCATCAACATCAGGATTTCAATAGCAATGTCGTAGTCTTCAGTATCAAGATTTCAATATCTTCTTCATCTCTATCTGCATCACGTGAAATCAGTATCAAAATCTCTGTTGTCGGTATCAAAATTGAGTAGAAAGTGAATTTATTTTGAACAAAAAATTAACTCTAGCTTTAAAGTTAATGTAAAACATTATAATCCTTTTGTGCAACAAACTTTTTTTTTTTTGCAGATTATGTTGGCCTATTTGTTCCTACTTTAAATTCAGTCGGACACATAATGTTCTGAATAAAAAAGGATTAATTTTTGTTAAGTTAGAGTTTTAAAAAATACAAATCCAGTACGAAGATTTCAGATTTGATTCTCGTCTTCTCTTTATCAGTATCTTCAAAATTTATTTGTCTTTGTCCTTTATATTAATATTCTAATACCAATTTATTCACCATCTGTATCAATATTTCAAAATCAATACTTCTTCACCAATATCAAGATATTTCAACATCAATATCTTCACCACCAACATCAAGATTTCAATATCAATATTTTAGTCATCATTATCAAGATTCCAATAGCAATGTCTCAGTCCTCAGTATCGAGATCTTGATATCTTTGTCATCACTAACTACATCACGCGAAATCATAATCAAGATCTCTGTAATCGGTATCAAAATTGATTTGAAAGTTAATACATTTTGAACAAACTAAATAACCGTAGATTTGAAGATAATAATTGCAAAGTTATAAAACCCTTTTGTATAACCAAATTTGCTTGCAAATAATGAAAAAAAATAAAGTTAGTTTCAAAGCCGATTATAAAAACTATCTATTTAGAATATTCTATTTCATAGTAATAGCTGCACATGTAGCAATATACGATTACTTCGTGGCCACTGTGCAAATGGAAAGTTAAAGGTTACACATGATTATTGAGATAAGGAGAAAATTGGCTAAAAAAATGAGATTGTTGCGTGTTTTAACAAATCTAAAAGAACAATAAGTTGTAATTCAAAATGGGTCAACCTAGAATTCTTAATTCGAAAACAAAAAACTCATGCTTAATCTTTAAATTCAAAATGATTCTTTAACATCTGCAAATTCATCTTACACTAACGACGATTGTATTCGTAAACAATATGATAACTTATTACATCACAGCAAATCTGAAATTTAGGTACATATTTAAATTTATATATTGCGAACGTGAATTGTTAAAAGGTTTAGGTTAAAACGTGATCACCACCACATTTTGAATATTTTAAATTATAAGAATGATTTTAAAAAACAGTTATAGAAGCTATTTATTATCGATATTATGGTTCATGGAAACTCATGGTCAGAACTTAAATTCAAAATTATTTCTTTTAATCTGAAAACTTATCTTACAATGAGGGTTGTATTCTGAAACAATATAAGTCATTAAATCAAAGCAAATGTGCAATTTACGTGCATATTTAATGCATATATAACAAGCGTGAGTTGTAAAATGCTTTATTTCAAACTTGCACAAAACTATTTTAATTTATATTTAAAAATATTTGATTATAAAACAATTCAGTAAACTATTTTTTAAATATTAGTATAATTTATAAATTCATGTAATATTTTAATAATAATATTAACATATAAATTAATGAACATTTTATAATTATAAGAATGTTTTAAAAAATATTTTAGAGGCAAACAATTATAAAGAATTTTTTTTAAAAAAAAGGAAATACAATTAATCTGCTTAAGGAGAGGATTCTTATGATTCTTGATAATCAATGAAATAAAAGATGGAAATGTTATAACTTTTCATTCTATTTATCAGATTTTAAAATATAAATACATAAGTTTCGAAATTGAAACTGTATCAGTTCATTTCAGAACTTGAACAGCTCTCAGAACCAAGATTGTCAGATTTTGTGATCTTCGTCCTAAGAATTTATTAAATATTCAATTTAATTTTGAAAAATAAATAAAGATTTCATAATGGCTGAAATAATACGGAAACCTTAAATTACAAACACAGACTCAGTTGATTCGTATCGAAACATATGTGTAGCATTTAGAGTTAGCAAAAATGTAACTAGAAACGCTATGATTAGAGTTGGGCAAAAATGCGTAAAGAATGCGTAATAGGATAGTAAATAATAAACAACTTGAATGTGAAAATCAGGTATTTTATCATAATTTTAATTGGGATCGTTTGGTTGGAATATGAAATCATGTTTAACTGCTACAAGCAGTCATGTACTATGTGCGAAATTCCAGATCAAATTACAATAAAAAGTACTGGCTTTCTTAGTGCCGGTACTTTTTGCCGATTATTACCGGAAAATGTCATAGAACAAAAAATTTGACATACCGCAATTCTCACAGAAATAATTGCAGTAAAATCATTGAATCACGGTAGATAAATGTTACCGTAAAAATTACGGTATAATATTTGACGGTGGAATTGATTTTATGGCTGATGCACCGAAAGTGCCGGTACTTTATACCGTAATTTGACCTGGAATTTTTTAAAGTGTAATAGTAATTGCATTGACTCGTCATTGAAATACATAAGTTGCATATTTGATGCCATGAATGCCCAATCTTCTCTGCCTCAGGAGAAATAAGTTACTTCGGAAAATATTCGAAATTCAGTTTTTATTCAGTCATTTATATCATTAGTTCGCTTTTATACTAGAAAAATGTTAACATCCAACAGTGAATGTATTGAAAGCAAACAAATAAAGTAAAAGATGTTCGTTTGCATTATTTTCCTATTATAATCAATGCCATAACTGAATGTCAACAATTATCTGTAAAAGTGAGAAATAATGATAGTTAAATTAAAATATTTTTATACCACGTCTTCACTCTGTAAAATATTCTGGATCAAATTACGGCATAAAGTACCGGCACTTTAAGACCATCATCCGTAAAATCCATTTCACCGTTAAATACTATACCGTAATTTTGCCATCAATATTTATTTATTTAGAATGATTCAGTGATTTTTCGATAATTTTTACTGCAAAAATTATAATACGTAAATCAGATTTTTTGTTCCGTAACATGTTCCAGTAAAAATTGATTTCACGGTAAAGATGTATCGGCACTCTGAGTACAGGTATTTTTAATCGTAGTTTGATTCGGAATTTTTACAGTGTTTCAGTGAATGCTGAATATCGACATTTGACGGAACATAAGGATTAATAAATAATTCATATCGCAAGTCTTAATTTAGACTAAACTTACATTTTGAAAGTACTTAGTGTAATTTCTATCACTGCTTATGTTTAAATTATCATCTCTAATCTCGATTGATTCCTTGTATAAGATTATCGTAATTGCTTACAATCATGACTGCTTGTAATCACGATTACAAGAGTTATTAGTAAAGGTAAATTATGATTACTTGAAATCACGAAAGCAAATTATTATTTAATATGCTGTAAGCAACTATAGCAAATTACAAAATAAGGTAGATTCAGAACGCTTCATATACAAAACCTAACAAAAATAGACTATTTTATTCCAAATTCGTCTCAGATTTTAAAAAAAATCTCTTTTTATAAACTTATATGAAAATTAAAATAACTTTTGTGACGTAAACTACCTATAATAAAGCAAACACCGATTGATTCAGTTGACGAAAATACCTATTTCAATTATTTAGATTTTGTTCTTGTTTAGAAAATTATAACTTAGCTAAAAAATAAGATTGTTACCTATGATTTATGTCTCCAAACTTACACAAACTCAAACTTACAAACTGTTACAAACTTACGATAACAATATGATTTTCATCAAAACCCAGCTCAATTTAAATTTTAACTTTTGTTTAAAAATTTATGTAAAAATAAATGAATTTACGATTAAAATTATAAGAAAATTCTATAATACGCTTTTTCTGAAAAAAATTCTTAAAAAACAATTACCCAAAGATAAAATACCGAAATGAAATGTGTGTTTAATGGATTCTTTTGAAAAATATCAGAAAACAAAATTAGCGGTCAGTTTCTGAAATTAAGCGTCTATTATTTCGTACATATAAAATACCATTATGTAATTGTATATTTTAATTTCTTTGAATATTGTAGAATATCCAAGAAGCCATATTTACCCTAGAGGTAGTGATGAGCTTGCAGAAAATTCATATTATTATCAGCCTGTATATGGGCCTCAGCGTCAGAATGATGCTTGCAGTATGAAGTAAGTATCTCTCTGTAGCCATATATATTTATTTTTTCACTGTTAATATGTTCCCAGCATAGAATTAACATCGAATAATTGCTTGGTATTTTTCAATTAAGAATATTAAATGTAAAAAGAACAACGTTTTATGAGCTGTTTTTAAGAGAACGGTCGTTTTAAGTTAATAAAGCAGAAAATTCATATCGTCTTCCATCAACTTTTAGCATCAGAATATTGCAATATGAAGTTAGTATCTCACTGTAACATTATACAAATATTTCCTTCAAATCACATGTGTGCAATGCATGGAATTTCCGAAACATATTTAAATATTTGCTTGGTTCCTATCGATTTAGAACATATTAAATGTTTAAAAAGAAGGTTTTATAGTTTATTTTTATGAAAACCGTTGTTTTACATGTGTGAAATTTAAATTTCTTATCATTATCAACCACTATCTATTTGCCTCAGCGTCAGAAGGAAGCATGCAGTATAAAGTGAACAGCCATATATTTATATTTTTTCAATTTTAATAAATGCAGAGCATAGAATTACCGAAACACATTCGAATACTTGATTGGTTTCCTTTGACAATAACTGTAAAAAAGGAGGGAAATGTTTTATACGTTATTCTTAAGAAAACCGCCATTTTAAGCTCATAAAACGGATGATTCATATCATTATTTACATGTGTGAAGGCCTCAGCGTCAGAAAGATTGCAGTATGAAATAAATAGCTAAGTGTAGCCATATGTTATTATTTTGTCAATTTCAATAGTTTCAGAACATAGAATTATCGAAACATACTCGAATACCTGTTTGGCTACTTTCGACAATAAATGTAAAATAAAAAGGGTAAATAGTTCTATAGGTTATTTTTAAGAAAACAGCCATTTTAAATTCGTAAAATGGATTATTTACCTGTATATGGGCCTCAGCGTCAGAATGATTGCAGTGTAAAGCATTTTCTGATTTAACCATTTGTTATTACTTTATAAACTTTAATAAGCTCAAAACATAGAACTACCGAAACATATTCGAATACTTGCAAGTTTTACTCGTTTTTTTTCTTTTTTTACTGATTAAAAACCGAAAGCCTCCATTTTAAGTTTATTAAACGAAAATTTTATATCATTATCCACCTTTATAAAAGCCTCAACGTCGGAAAGATAGTAATACATAGTAAATATCTCAGCGTAGCTATATGTAACTATTTTATTAATTTCAATAGGTTTAGAATATAAAATTAAAAAGGAGTTTCTTGTTATTAAAACAGTCGTTTTAGCTGTGAATAAAACTCATAAATAAAAATTAAAAGATAATAAAGTCATTTTTCTTTCTTAAATTAATACATTTTAAAAGACACTTTCAGCCCCCCTAAAAATATGGGCAAGACATAAAGCATACCTAAAGCAATCTCATGACTGTTTGTGAGTTAATGACTTTTTTATGAATCTTATGCTCGAAATTTTAGAATCATTCTAAAAAGTATTTTTCGCCCCCCAAAGATGATATTAAGATTTCGATATTGTTTTCGTATTAATCTAGATTAAATAATAATTTACGAACAATAAGTTAGTAACGCTAGTGATATGTTTTTCAAGATATATAAAATAATATAAAAATATTCTTTTCTTTATTTGATTTTTCAGAGCATCGATATTGGATGAGCGAGCGATCGATGCAACACGAGAATCCATAAGACAGTGTACACAAGACCACGATTCTTGCTATTATGCGAAACACAGTAAATATCGCGCCATCGATGGCAGCTGTAACAATATCAAAAATCCCGAATGGGGAAAATCAGAAGGATGTTTACAAAGAATTTTACCATTTGATTATGCCGATAGTAAGTACATATTTAAGATAATTTTTCCCCTAACAAGACTCTTAAATCCTAAGTACTTTTTAGTATTTCAAAAAGCAACAAATTCTCAAAAATGCAACAATTCGATCAAAACTTTGACTTTCCAAACTATTGCATGAACCTACAAAAATTCAATCTTCTATATGTTATGCTATCATTTCACTTACAAATATTTTGTTTTATTTAGTTAAAAAGCATTATGTTTTATTTAACTTACAACTCGGCGCTGAAATTATTATTTTGAACATAGTTCAAAATGATCGGGGTTTTTTTAATACTTTTTTTTATAACCGACGTTGAGCAGCCGACCCAATTTCCTGGGTTTACGGCTACTAATGTTCAACTCCGTAGCCATGTAGTCTTGAACCCAATCCAGAAGACAAGGGAACTCCTGGATCAAGTATAGGGAGAAATTTTGCCTTCGCGTAGGACTTTTTGATAGAACTAACCCGCATTTGCGTTAGATGGAGAAGAAGACAACGAGAACCTCCCACGGTTAGCCTGACGGCAAAGAGACTCTAACCTATGATCAGTCTGCCACTGAGGATATTTTACGTCAGCACTGTTGTCGGTGCAAGCCGGATGCGGAATTTGTATCGACCAGCCGTTGCTGAGATTCGAAGCCGGTTCACCTCATTGGAAGGAGAACGCTCTATCTCCTGAGCTACCACGGCTCAAAATGATCGTTTAAAAAAATCGAACGTTTAAATAAATGGATGTAGCTCAGAAGGTGTGCATAGGAAAATAAACAAAACTTGATACAACAGCATGTGAAAAAATCAAAACGCGTGTTAAAGAAATTTAATTTAACGGTGTATGAAAAAATAGACGTTTATGAAAATGCGAATTTAAGAAAATAAAGGAGACTTGAAGTAATCCTTGGAATAAATTGACCAATCGTTATTTGCGGGTTTGGCAAAACAATGGATCTAGCTATAAATGCAAGTAAAAGAAACTTGGCATATCAGAAAATGTTGCATACCAAATAAATATGAAAATGCACATAATTTTATTTCATTTTATTTTATATATTTAAACACTTCGGGCAATCATTACTTAAATCACTTACGGATCACCACTTACGGAAAATTATCTCATAAAATAGTTGTAACAATATTTGAAACTGAATCAAATGCTTTGTCTCTCATTTTAAAAAAAAAGAAAGAAACACGCATTTCTAACTATGGTTATTTTCTTTAATTTAAAGCACGAAAAACAACTACATTACCATTTACTACACTGAAGAAAATTCCGGATCAAATTATGGTATTGAATACCGAAACTTTGGGTGCATCATCATGTATAAACGTAAAATCCATTTTAACCATAATTTTAACTGTAACTTTAATTCTTATGTAATCAACCGTAATTTTAATTTTTATGCAATTTTATGTAATTAGGGGGATTTAGTGATTTTGAAGTAATTATTACTGGAAAAAAAATCAGATTTCTTTATTCCCGAAAAAATAGATTTTATAGTAAATACTACTGGCACCCTGAGTGCCGGTACTTTGTACCGTAATTTTTCTCAATTTAAGAGAAATATTTTAATGCATGATGCATGCTTTCTTACTTTTTTTGAAAAGTATTAATTTTATCACACAAAAGGTGTTATGACATGTCTAATGAACAATATAATTAAGTATAAAAGAAACAAAAAGAAAGCAAAAAATGATGAATAGAGGGTGATTTTTTTTATTTATTTTTTTATTTGTGTCCTTTCCGAATTTCGGAATTGGAATTTATGTGTTTTAGTTTATGTGCTTTGAAGCAGTAAGAGTTTTAAATAGCTTCATAAAAAAATTTACAAGTTGTTAAAAACTGGTAAGCTGACATATACCCATTTTTTCCCTACGTTATACCCACATGTAAAGCGTTTTACAGCAACTCAGCATTATGTGTATAGATTTTAATTACTTGTATGGACATGAAAATCTACTGTATGAATCTACTATATCCACTTTATTAATAAATACATTTTTTTCCACAGGAATTTCAAAGCCTAGGGTATCTTGTACTGGAAATCCACTGCCAAATCCTCGATTAGTATCAAATGTCTTTCATCAACAAAAACACTCCAAAAAGGATGATCTTACCACAGCCTTCATGGAGTGGGGACAGATGTTGGCACATGATTTATCTTTGAATGATGTTTTCAAGACTCCAGGTAATGTTTCATTGATTTTTTTTTATTTTTACTGTCATCGCTCACGTGAGCTAATTTCCCGATGTCTCAAAAAGTTACCAAAATTCTTACTAAGCCATTTTTCATATTATATCTTTTCTCATAACTCAAAAAGTTTTTCCAACAGGAGAAAAAGGAATTTCTTCTTATTTAGTTTTCAATAAAGAAAATTAATATTAAATTTTTTTTTAAATTTAATTTGTTTAATTAAAAAATTTTTTAGATATTTTTTACTGAGAAATAAAAAAAGTAATCTTAAGACTAGCAAATAAATCAAAGTTTTGAGGAAGAGAAATGTTTGAGATAAAATTTTTGAGCTGTAGAAAAAGGCAGGCTTAGCAAGTTTTGCGTTTCAACCATATTTTTATTTTTATTTTGTCAAAAAATTAAAAAAAATCTTCAAACTGCTTAATATTATTTTAGCTCAGTAGTTAATACCAGTCTTAAAATTAATACACATATGCATGTAGAAGTGGCATATTTATAAGGGCAAGCATTTAGGAGGATGGAGGCAATTGTAGCGAGTTCAAAAAAGTTTTAAAAAAAAAAGTTGTAATTGACGCAAATGTTAGGTATATGATCATTTTCAATGCAACAAACATACCTTTTTGAATCTAGGAGACAAAAAAAAAAAAAAAAAAAAAAAAAAAAAAAAAAAAAAAAAAAAAAAAAAAAAANAAAAAAAAAAAAAAAAAAGAATTTTTTTGAGAATTGGATATAAAAAAAAGTTTTTTTTCTAAACATTTCCATAAAGTATCTTTATAATATGAAAAAATAAACCTTAAAAAGCTTTTGTTCTTTTAATGTGAATTTATTCTAATTATTTATTATGTGTATTATTATTGTGTTTAACTATTGTGTTTTTTAAAATTTTTTCGTTCCTTTATTGTGAATTCTGTTTAGATTATTAAAATTTGAGAAAGAGTTATAGAACATTTGAATTATTTGCATTATTATTATTTTGCTCATTTAAAAAATGCATTTAATCCATTTTTAATTAAAATATAACACTGCGCACAAGTAAGCTGACCAGCGTCCACCCAAAAAAAAGAAGTAAAAAAAGAGGTAATAAATACTAAACGTATATTTCAAAACTCACTGATTTACATTCTCATTTTAATAACTGAAATCTTTCGCAGAGATTCTCTAACAGAAATATTCTTTTTAAATAATTGGAAATGTAAAGAGGTGAGATTTCAATTGTTCCTTTAGAAATTTGGCTGCAATTTTTTTAGTTTTTGGAGGAGACTGGTATAGTACAAAGCACTGAAATCCATCGTCTTAATAATGTTATTCAAAGGGACAGCTTCATCAAGTGATTAAAGAGATGGCGCTGCATGTTACAGAAATAAATATGGAATAAGACATTAAATACCTACATAGATAATTTTCCTTCCATTATTAAGCCAAAACTGTATTTTATGTACGAAACACTTTTTTTTTTCTAATGAAAGTAAGCAATTTCTTGAATTTCGATTCAATTGCAACGCATCCAAAACTCACTCTGAGATTAAAAACAAAAATATTTTAGTTACATTATGATTAAAAATGAAAATTAAATCAGTAAATTTAAAGTTGCAGAAAGCGACATCTATGTAAAAGTTTTGAAATAAAAACAAATCATGTAATTGGTTTGTGATATTCGAAATATAATAAAGCAAATAACTACGTGGTTTACTTTGGTATTTTACTTGTTAAGAAATTTAATATTTTTATATGAAGGAAGTTTAATTGCTTGTTAGAGCGTCTTTTTCGTAAGTTTTACAAATAAAAATAATTATTTATGTCTTATTCTAAAAATCCAAAACTGTAAAAAAATTAAAATAAATTCCATTTTTTCAATAAACTTAATTTATTGATTGGTAATTAATTTATTGATGTTGGTACATTTTGATATTCAATTGATATTTTTGATAAGCTTTTTTTTTCTTTGTTGATTTATTGAAATAAAATTACGACTGATAAATTTTTAGAGAATACAAGTAATTTTTTTTTTTAACATTAACATTTAATTATTGTGATGAAGTAAATTTTTTTTAAACCTTAATAATGGCAAATTTAACAATGTTTTTTTGTTTCTGCTTTAGAATCAGGGTACAATCTTCCAATCCAATGCTGCAATCCAGGACCAGTCATCAATGACAGGTGTTTTTCATTGCCAGTCCCACCAGGCGATCCCTTTTACCCAAAATATGGAGTGACTTGCATTAGTTTTGCTCGAACTGTACCTTGTCCTGTTTGCAGAGCCGGTAAAGTATTTCTATATTTTTACCATGCCTTTCCCCCCCCCCATATCTCCCAGCCTTTTCAAATTTCATGAAATATTTATTAATTCTCTAATTCTTTTCTCAGTGGGAAAAAAATTTTAATCTTATTATTTAAAGTAGTCGCAGATAAAGGGAAATCAAATTTTATTATTCTAATTTTCTTTCTCTAGCTGTAAACACATTTGCCTAAGAATTCCTATCCAGAATATGTTTGTCACTTGTTCCCACAAAGAGGGGTATACTATTAATTTTAATTAGGCTAGGAAATAATGTAACCACTTATCATGCTAAGAAGCGATACGCGCTATTACTGTCCAAAAATACGTAAAAATGCTGAAATCCCGAAATTTGTTGGATAATTTGGGCCATTGCCTAGGCTTCGCTCTATCCTCTGCATGTCACTGTTCATGTATTATTAAGTTACTGTTGCAGGTTAAAATATTTTTCATGAACATTTCGTTCTCTAGCTGTAAACACATTAGCCTAAGAATTCTTATCCAGAATATGTTTGTCACTTGTTCCCGCAAAGAGGGGTATACTATTAATTTTAATTAGGCTAGGAAATAATGTAACCACTTATCATGCTAAGAAGCGATACGCGCTATTACTGTCCAAAAATACGTAAAAATGCTGAAATCCCGAAATTTGTTGGATAATTTGGGCCATTGCCTGGGCTTTGCTCTATCCTTTGCATGTCACTGTTCATGTGTTATTAAGTTACTGTTGCAGGTTAAAATATTTTTCATGAACATATTCCTGAACGAAAGTTAGTTATCATATTCCCACAAAAGATTCTATTTTTTCATAAAATGCAGTTTTTTTTTAATTAACGGATTTTTATAATTTTTTATTTATTTATTTTAAAATGTAACGATAATTGTCTTTTGGTAGGCCAACGAGTACACTGGAATCAAAACACCGGATACCATGATCTTTCCTTAGTATACGGAAGTACTCCTGATGAAGCTCAAAAACTTCGAAGTGGCGATAGAGGTTAGTAATAATCACATTCTTCAATTATTTGAGCAATAGAAAATTTTTTTGTTGTTTCTAATCCCCAAGAGGTCTATCTTAATTAGACCAATTCCATAAGTCCAAAAATGTCCAGGAAGTCTAAAAACAGATGAGGTTTTGAAAAAACCTCGTCGATCTTAAAATCGATACAGTTTAGAATATGCTCGGGCGAAGCCTGAGCAGTCCTACATTTAGTGCAAAGTCCAAAAGTCTTTTGCCCCTGAACATACGAGAGACACCTCAAGTGACCACTTGAATCAAAGCAAAGCGAAGCAGCAAAGCGAGATAAACAGCAAGATTAAACAGCGAGATTATCAGCAAAGCGAGATAAACAAGTCTGCTGGCTTCTAGGTCCCTCAAAAAGCAAGGCACTTCCAGGTCGTTTTCTGAAATACCAACTATGCGGAGGAGGAACCCTCCAGAGGTCCATAAAAGAATTTTTGCACTCTGCAAAGACCTCGTTGAAAGTGGAAGGTAAATCTGGCTGTAAAGGTTCCAAAGAAGCATCTTTAGCCAGTGAGTCCGCCATCTCGTTACCTTTGATTCCAACGTGTGATTGAATCCATTGGAAGTGTACTCCAAAGTCCGCTGAGAGCCTGGAGAGCATCCCCAAAATTGAAGCCGCAGCCCTGTCTCCAACATTCATCCAGTTGCTAAGGTGTTGGATTGAAGATTTGCTATCCGTCAGTATCCATATATGCTTAAAGTCAGGCTCAGCAATATTCTCAACATGTCTTAGGCCATTTTCAATCGCAATAAGCTCAGATCTGAAAAGCGAGCGAAATTCAGAATTTCTAAATTTGAGACTCATTGTGTACGAAAAATTTTTTTAAGAACATAATACACCAGAATTGTCAAAATTAGTTTAGTTTTTCACTAGTAGAAAAATATATTTAAATAAATTTTCACATTATTTCGATTAGCATTGAAAAATCACAGCCTATCAAAGAGTTAAATGCTTTATTTTCAAACTGCATGTCATTAAATTATGCTTTTCTTATTATTGTTTTGCTCATTTTTAAACGTATGTATATAAGTTATTTTCTGAGAAACATTGCGCATGATTTATTAAAGTTTATAAGAATGTTTATAAAGTAGATTAATTTTGAAGTTAATTTTTTTGGAGAAAATAATTTTTCATGATTTCTGATTATTTATAATTATTATGATAACAATTAAAATGATAATGAATAGCTAATATTAACGAAACAGATGAATCTACTTTAAGAGAGAGAAATTTATCTAATCTTATTTAATATCCTACAACAAAATTAACTCAATATTAAAAATTATTTTCATTGAAGGCAAACATTTTGTAAGCAGATAAATTCTTTTAAACGAATGATAAATGCTCTTGCATAAAGTAAACAATGCTCTGCTTGAGAAAAAAAATGTAGAACCTCAATTATCAGAACCTCCTTTATCCAAATATTAATATTAATAAGACATGGGTAAGTACTAATTTTTTATGGCATTAATTACAAACTTATAGCTGTATAAGTGATTATCTTTTATTTAAAAAAACAAAACTTTTAATATCAAATACAATTCAATCTTAAGAGGGGATGAAAATAATTAAGTAAAGATTTCATTGCTTTTAACATAATTTTCAGTTGATGAGTTAAATCTAATACAAGTTCAGAAATATTTGTTAAAAATTACATATTTAACAAGTTCTTAATATCGCCATTTCCAATTAGGTTATAAAAATAAAATATGTATACGGATTCGTATAGGATATAACTTATAAATCCATGTATTTATTACGGCTACATAACAAACTAAACAAGGCTCTCAACAAATCATTTTTCGTACTATTAAATCTTAGAATAATCTAGATACTTCAGACAACTCATGAGAAAATATTTTGGGAACCTAATTTAATTAAAAAAATTTTTTTAACTAAATTGCTTTTAAAAATCATGTCAATGAAATATTAAAAAAAAAAAAGAAAAGAATTATTAATCCTAACAATTTAACATTTTCAACATCAGTTCAAAAAGTAACTACCAGTTCAATCCTCAAATTGATGCGAATTTTGATGAGTCTGCAAATTAGTGATCCGCATATTGATCTGAGTTTGCAGATGAATAAAATTTTATATAAGTTCAAAAAGTAAACGATTCGTTCATAAGTTCGTACTTTTCAAACTGATACGAGTTGAACTGCTAGTGAAGTTGACAATTGGATTTGTTTTATCCTTGGCACGCAAATAGTAGTATTCTGGTGGCCAAGGTTTTATCTAAATAATGCGAGCTCGTATTCGGTTTGGCCGAAGAATAAATTTGAAATTAAAAATAGTGCTGCCATCTAGACGATAAATTTGTAAAGATTAATAAGTTATTATCCATTTGTTTTGGCGATTTTACTTTTTTTTTTTACACGTTTGAAATAAACTGATTCAAAATTAATTTGGTAATTTCAAAATGTATATATTCCAAGTACTAAATTTTGGTGAATACTAAGAGTAAAATATGAGATGCATTGATACAGACATATATCTGATGCATCAGGGTCGAATTCGAAATGTTTTTTTCTCGACAGGTCACTTTATTATTTTTAAATATTTTATTTTGTTACATAAATATTTTTTCTTACTTTTTAAATGTCAATGCAATTTTATGTGAATTTGATGAGTCTAGATACCTTGGTTTTGTTAAAGAAATCTGCAAGATTTAATTTACATTGTTTCATCCGTCTATTCATTATTAGCGCATTTGCGTATTTTAATTTCACCACACTGTTCCACTACCAAAAGAAGCTGGTTATGCAAGAAAAATATAATATCGTAGTGCAGATGGATTCATAAAGTTTTATAAAGGTTCCAGATAAATGCAAATGAATAAAATCAAGTTCAAAAATGAATAAAATCTACTAACGATACTGTCTTAGATCAGGGCCGGCTTATGCATGTCGCGGCCCCTAGGCAATGCTCGTCTCGGGCCCCCATCCCTATCGTCTTCTAACTTCCTAATATATTTTTTCGTTTGATTCGCAACTAAATCCGAGTTTGAAAAGGTTTTGTGTTTTCTTCAATTGTTCATTAAGCTTATTTTGTTGCTCTTGCCGCTTTTTACGTTTTTCTGAACCACTTTGGTGTTTTTTCTTTACGGGTACCTCCGACATTTTGTTCCTGAAAAAAATAATCTTTCGGTTTAAAACAGAAATGAAATTTTCACCTTAGCAGCTCAAACATATTGAATTTCCTGCTTAATAATAAACACCCAAACTAATAATATTTGATAACGTTGAAATTAAATAAAATATGTAAATAATTGAATAATAAAACGGCACTTCACATTTGTCAAGTCCTGTAACTTCAGTTTACACTACACGGATTTTTACTCGTCGTTTCACCGATTTTCTCGAAGCTCGAAGCACTTCTGCAGTCTTTATAAATAAATATCCAATACTTAGCTCTAAATTCGTAAGTTTTGAAATACAAACTGTAAAACTCTCTTTTCATTCACAGCCGTAAAACTCGCAAACAAATTGCACGAAGTGAAAATTCAACGATTACATTAAAAATGTTTCAATAATGTTGTCTATGACACAATACAACGTATGTATTTAGCGGATCGGGGAATTCCCCATTCCCCAGTCATGCGACGAAAGAACCAGTACTGCCAACCTTATTTTTACATACTTTTTGGTAGCTTGGCCATAGAATATACATACCTATGGTAGGTACCAGAACAGTAAGTGTGCATTTACAATGTTGAATTTTGCGCGTTTTTCAAGCGTGATGTGTTAAAAAAGCTGCTCTTGCTGTATAGTCATCTGATTAGTCGGCGTTAAAATTACCGCTATAAAATTGCTTGCGATTATATTACTGCGTTATATATGAACTAACTACCATAATATTAATATCTAATTTGGAATGCGTTCAGAAATGAAATACGGTCGATGTAATGTACAGAGCAAGACAATCGTCATTGAAATTTCGAATTAAATTTTTACTGTTTAAGAAACATTGTCAATTTTTTTCTCTGTAACACAGGGCCCCTGAACGTGGCGGGGCCCCTAGGCAGTTGCCTACAGTGCCTAATGGATAAAACGGCCCTGTCTTAGATGCTGCTTTGTTTGTGGTTTATTCAAAGAAGGCGTGCGGTCTTGTAGGGCAAAAGTGCTAGTGAATTAAAAAATTACAACAAATGTATTTGACAAAAATATATTAACTAAATGTTCATATTAAAAATAAGTGTAAATATGATGTAGCAATTTTATTAAAAAAAATAACTCGATTTTCAATGTTTATTGATTATAAAAGATTAACCTCTATAATCCTAATATTTCGATTATCTTTAATAGGCTAAATAATTACTTCGGGTGAACAAGATCAGAATACATTTTTATTTTTGATTGAGAAACAATATCTTGAAGATAAAATTTATTTTTCTTAAGCGTTTCTGTAAAATAACTATACCATACGCAAGAAATTAAACGAACTTAAAAAGAGTGAAATTTGTAATCAATTTATGTTTAAGATAAAATTTATTTAACGGTTATTACTTTTTATTTTCTGAAATATTTTTTCTGACAATAAATGTTTTCGGGGATGATTTTTTTTTAAAAAAATTATACAATGAGCAGAATTAATAAAATATTATTTGATTATTGATTAACATAAATTTTACAGATTGTGTAAACTGTACATTACTCTGAGACAAGTAACTCAGAAAAATGTTAATTTAAGTTTATACTAAAATGTTATTAAAAGAGTAATATGCATTAAATGATACTTATTTTGAAATTATCTAACGTTTATTTTTGTTAGGAATGTTGGATGTAGATTATACCCCTAAAGCGGGTCCAATACTCCCATCTGTGCCAATAGAAGACCTATGTGTGTCACCTCCAGGTCAAAGTGCATGTTTCAAAGCAGGTATGGTGTGGTTCATTTATTTATTAGAAAAAGCCAATCATTGAAATATTGTTCTCTGAGATTTCTAACTGTAATAGCAAATGCTTTTGGATAGTTAAATTTTAACTCGTTCTGTTTAAAAAAAAACTAAATTTATTTGTTTTTTATATTATAAAGAAAATTTTAAAATTATAAAACCATGTCTTAATCAAAAAGAGCCGAGAAGATTTATTTTCCTAAAATATAATATAAGGAGGCTTCAGTTTCTGCTAACTGCTCTCACCACTTCCCGAAAATAATGACGCAGCTTCTGTAATCCAGCTTTGCATAAATAGTGGTACTCTTTTCAAAATAAAGTTGTAAAAATATGTAGTATATGCAGTACCTTATATATTTACATAAATTTTGGTATTATTCAGTCTCGGCGGACCTTAAAGAACCTATTACCACAGTACCGATATTAGTATATTAGATTCTCCACAAAAACGGTTGCAGCTATATTACTACAATTAATTAAGCATTATGGCTGTCAGTATGAGTTATTCAATACTTTACGACCCACAAAACGAAATATAACACTACTCTTCCTTCGTGAAATGTATAAACTGTAAAAAAAAAAAAGGTTTAGAAAAATAAAGGAAGAAGCACTAAAATAAAAAATTTGATAATTGAGATACGTAATTCAGAAGACCAATGTGTTTCTTCTCACAGTTGTAGCATGAAAGTGGTCTAATCTGAAAATTTACGTACGCAAAATTATCTGCTGTAAAAGAAATCCTTACAGCAGTATTTTCTTTATTAAATTAAAATCGGTATCCGAAATACAATGAATTTAGTTTTTTTTTAAAACTCGCAATAAAACAGCCAGCTAATCCTTTGCCATAAAATATTCAAGCATCTATCTCACTTGTTTTTTTCACGATGAGAGAGTATAAAAAAGAAAAGGAAATCTGCGCTTTACTGCATAGAATAATTTATATAGAATAAGGTAAAACTTAATCAAGACCATCAAATTAGTAATCAAAATATCACGCCATTTCACGACGAAATGACTGCCGGATCATGGGTCAGAGTCCCTTGGCAGTCAGGCTAACAATGGGAGCTTCTCGTGGTTTTACTCTTCGAATTAGTCCCATCAATAAGTCCTTCACGAAGACAAATTTTTCCTACTACTTGATCCAACAGAACCCTTGTTTTCTGGATTGGATTCAAAATTGCAAGGCTACGCAGTTGAGAATTAGGAGTAGTAAACACAAAAACTTCAGTCGTCTGTTCACCGACAGTTATAAAATAAAAATATATACACACCATTGTAAAATACTTTTTATGCGCATTTAAATTTTTACCTGGCTTTCATTGTAAAATTCACTTTTCCTTACACATGAATTTTTTTTTAAACTTGAAAAAAAAAGAGTCTGTTTGATCTGCCAGTATGGTTTCGTTTATGTCTCCTCTACATTACATTTTATCACCGGTCTTGCAAAGCTCATAAACATAATAGAAGTACGCTTTTTCATCCGCAGCCAGTAGCCTTGTAATTTTGAGTACAATTCAGAAGATAAGGAAACTTTTATGGACAAATCCGTCGATACCGTTACAGATTCGTCTTATTTTGTAAAAATAGCCTGTATTGACTAGGCAGCGAGGAAAGTCACAAACGGTTAGAACGATAGAAATTAAATTTTAACAACCTCTACCACTTAAGGTATTTGCCTTAATACTTCCAGGTAGAATTTTTAAAAACATGCAAAAAAATTTAAAAACAATTTACTCTAGAAAAGTTTTTGAATAAAATAATAGTTACTTTAAGAAATTAGTCTGCTATTGTGAAAATTATCTTTTATAGGTGATACTCGAGTCAATCAGAATCCATTTCTTATTGTTGTTCATACTTATCTGATGAGGCATCACAACTTCATATGCCAAGAATTGAGTGAAGTAAATCCACACTGGGACGACGAGAAACTTTATCAAGAAGGAAGGTAAGTTTTAGATTTATACCATTTGTAATTTGATTAACGTGCTTTTGAGCACGCTCGACCAAAAACCTTTAAGCATAGAGCACGCTCTACCAAAAACCTTTGAGCACAGAGCGAGCTCAAGCAAAAGCTTTTGAGCATAGAGCACGTTTGACAAAAAAAAAAACCTTTGAGCACAGAGCTCATAGAATTTTGTAGAAAATCTCGTTTTTTTCGCTCGTAGAATATAATAGGTATCCTAAAAAGTATGAAAAATAAAATTTGAAAATAACTAAAGGATATAGAAATGAATATATATATATATGCAAAACAGATAACTGTCTTNATATATATATATATATATATATATATATATATATATATATATATATATATATATATATATATATATATATATATATATATATATATATATATATATATATATATATATATATATATATATATATATATATATATATATATATATATATATATATATATATATATATATATATATATATATATATATATATATATATATATATATATATATATATATATATATATATATATATATATATATATATATATATATATATATATATATATATATATATATATATATATATATATATATATATATATATATATATATATATATATATATATATATATATATATATATATATAGGAGTGTATATATATATATATATATATATATATATATATATATATATATATAGAAGCGCTCCTAGTGGTTTACGATTGCATATCTAGCCATGGTTGCTTCATAATTTTCCCTACCTTCCTTTCTTGTTTATGACTGTTTTGCTGTACATTTATTGTGCTGTACTGTACGTGCATGGCGTAAAGTTATTGCATTACTTAGAGAGGAAAATAAATGTATTTTACTCTAAGACTTTCCTTTTTCCTTCATAGGCGTCTCAACATCGCTATAGCTCAATTCATAACATACTCAGCTTATCTTCCAAATGTACTGGGTGAAATTATGCAAAAGGAAGGTATCAATGTTTTACCTGGTGCCAAATATACTAAATACGATCCAGAACTCGAACCTACTATTGCTGATGAATATGCCACGGCTGCCGCTCGATATGGCCATACTTTAATACCTTCTCGCTTGTCTCAAATTGACCCTAAGACTAACGAAGAACATGGTGCTTGGCTGAGAGACTTATACTACAATCCCTTTGGGTTCCGATACGGAATGTATGATGAAACAGCAAAGGGAATGACTGTTGATAGAAAAGAAAAGCATGATGTTTTCCTAGGTATGTAATTCCAAGTTCAAAATTAAGATTTAAAATGCTTGAAACATTATTCTGTTTTTTATGAAAATTAATAATCATATACAGAATGACACTAAAACTCAACAACTGTCAAATGTCTTAAATATGTATCGAACTGAAAAAAATTTAAGCAATTATCTCAAATTTCACAAGATGTTATCTATAATTTTAAAATTAGCACCGCAACTTTACTTCTAGAGGTGGGGTACGGAACAACTAGAAAAATCTTAAATGGAAATGCTTCCATTTTAATGCAGATTTCGATTCTTCAGAAAACAAATGCATCAATTTTACTTTTAGATTTATGCAGTTTAATTTGGAGGTGGTGCTGTAATTAAGAAACATAAAAATGTTGAACAAGTTGTTTAAATTAGAGATATTAAGAAAAATACTCGACGAATTAGAAATTCACACGCTTATTATTTTAAAAATAAAGTTTTATTATATTGACGTCAAAACCTGGTATTTGAAATTAGGGTGGGGAATAATGTGAAAATAATTAATGTTTCTAATTTTTTCTAAACTTATTTTTTTGCAGAAGTTTAAGATTTTTAATACAGATATGAAAATATCTTTGAAACATATTTTTCCCAAAATTTTTTGCTTGCTATATTTTAATTCAAGTAGAACTATTTTGCAGTATTTTTAAGCACGAAAGGATTAAATTGCATGATAACAATGTTAAAATTCAACAATATTATTGTGTTATATATTGCTCGAAAAATGAACTTGCACAATAATATAGCTCAAGTTGAACTATTGTTAATATGATATTTTTGAAAGTTGTATTTCAATTAAAATTTAACTACATTAGAGTTTTGTTAAGAGCAGAAAAGATAAATTTGCATGAAAATATGGTTAAAATTTAGCGTTATTGTTGTGTAATCAATTGCAATGAAAATTTTACTTGTACGGTAATATAGTTAAAATTGAGTTCTATTATTTTGTTCTTAAGTATCAGAAGAATTAATGAAGAATAACACCTTTTAAAGAAAGCAGAAAATTTAAACGATAAAATAGTTACAAACTAATCCATACTTCTAATATAGTATAGGATAAGGAAGCATATGGTTTGGATTAAAGTAATAAACATGAATAACAGGGAAACATTTAAGTAAATAATATTGAGTCTCTATTAGGAAAAAACATAAACAACAATATTTTTATTATCATCCAAGAGCTTTCGTTTCTCTTAAAAACGTGAAGTTAAATTCTATTTCATATTTCTTATAAATAAATAAAATTAACTAATCGTCATTAACTAGAGGTTTTCATTATTCTTGGGGAAAAATTTTATATAATGGTAAAATAGTGAATTTGGAAACTTCAAGTTGCATGGAAGTGACGAATTTGGTTCATGTATGGTATCCAAGTCTAACAATATTGTCTAAGTTAGTTCAAATTAATTTTTATTATCTTTTCTCAAGCTATTATAAACTTATAACGACCGTTTAAAGAAATAATTAATTACAAATTTGGCGATTAATTTGTGAAGTTGGTAATTCCAAGCTACTTCGAAATGACCAACTTGATTCCAGCGGCTTATGTATGGTTTTTAAGTTATTGTCTATGTTATTCAAATAAACCTAAACTACATTTCTACAGCTTTAATTAATAATTTACAAATAAAAATATTTGGTTAATAATAACAAATAAAAGTATTTGGTTATATTATATAAAAAGATTTTTAAAAACTTAGGGGATCTTCTTGGTGACTCCGTTTCGATCGTTCAGCCTAAATTGCACCAATCAAATTCTCGATTTTTTAAAGCCAATATCATAAGTATTGTTTTCATACAATAAAAAATGCAATTGGCTAAATACTAGAAAATGTTTTTCATTACAAAAAAATTTGTATTAAAATATTTTATTTAAGACAAAATTAATTAGTTACAAAAAATGGAGGCGAATGGAATAACTCCACGCTTCTGTCAATTATTTGATCTCTGTGAAAGATCTGTGAACTTTTTAAACTCGGTAACTGTTATAACTGCATAAACGATTTATAGCTCGCTCCACTCATTTCATGTCGCTAAACTCTCCCTATGACAGATTAGCTTAGATTCAACCAGCTAACAAAATCTTCGAATATCTTTTGTACAAAATGCGTATTTAATAGGAATATTTACATTAATTCAATTATTAAATGCCTGCTTTTTTTCAGTTGATGACGTTAGAAACTATTTGTACCGCCGTACTTATTTGAATGAAACTACAGGTCGAGATTTGGCTGCCGTTAGTATCTTAAGAGGTAGAGACCATGGTATACCAGGATACACATACTATTTATCTTATTTTTTCAATATCACTATTCGAAGTTTTGAAGACTTGGAAAAGGTTTTGCCTGCAAAATCTGTGGAATTGTTAGAAGGACTTTATGAGTAAGACACTATTAGCTTATGAATATTTTCAAAATTAAAAAAAAAGAAAACTATAATAACGAATATATAATACTTTATTTTTCCTCAATCATTGTTTAAAATTACCTGCTAAAACTTTGATACAATGTTTTAAAATTCAAATTAAATTTCGTTATAGTTTACTTTTTTTTATTATTAAAATCTGAAAAAATGATGAAACTTCAGAACATACATAATAAAACTCTCTTTGTAAGATGTTTGCAAACATGACACTTTATAACTGAATATATTTTTGTTTGTTTGTTATAATTTCATAACTGTTGGCGCTTTTGCCTTTTTAGGAAGGTTTTTCTCTGTGATAGTGATTAAACAGAAGAAAGCTTTCAAAACCGCTGGAATTCTTTAATTTCATTGGTTATCACTTATTGTCACCAAGAGAATATAGAGTTTCTAAGCAAGTGATTCAATTATTATAAATAATTTCAAACTTAGTTTATTAAACTAAGAGCCATGCAATGAATTTTGTAATATATTTTATAACCGACGTTGAAGTTTACATCTATCAATGCTAATTTCCTTAGCCTTGTAATTTTGAACCAAATCCAGGTGACAAGGGAACTCCTCTATCAAGTATTGGGAAAAATTTTCCTTTGTGGATGATTTTTTGATGGAACTAACCCGCGTTGTATGGAGTGGGAAACCACGAAATTCTCCCACGGTGAGCCTCATGGCAAGGGGACTCTAAACCATCATCCGTCTGCAACTGAGGATATTTTACGTTAGCACTGTGGTCGGTGCATGCTCGGTGTGGAATTCGCATCGATCGGCTGATCAATTTGCTCGGTGTGGGATTCGCATGTACTGAATTGCTCAATTTGCTGCAACTGAAAGATATTGTAAACGAAAATCGTTTAATCGGTAGCTATAATATTTAGAGCATTTAATTTTCTTAAGTGTGGTTCAGTTTTTATTTGTCTTTTGTGGTATCGTAATTGGGGATATTACTTTAATATTATACTCTAACAAAGGCTCCAAAAATATCGTTGGTTAACCTTAAGTAAGTTTTTGTTGTTGTTGTTGTTAATTTACGTCGCACTAGAGCTGCATGATGGGGTATTGGCGACGGTCTGGGGAACACCCCTGAGGAAGATCCGATTACAATTTTGATCCTCTGCAGAGGGGATGGCACCCCGCTTCGGTAGCCCGACGACCTGCACGCGAAGTCGAGCACTTTAAGGTAGAGCAGTTTAACGAGGACCAATACCGCACACCCTCGGTCCCTACGCAGACTGATCCAAGTGATCACCCACCCGCACACTGACCGTAGCCAGTGATGCTTGACTTCGGTGATCTGCTGGAACCGTGTCTTACTTATCAGTTCACTGAGGGACAAGTAAGTGTTTTAATAGACTGTATATTTAAAATACAACCATTAAGTTGAACCTGTTAAACAAAACTTCAAATTAATGATTAAAGTCTGGAAATAAAAATTTAAAAAAAAATAATAAATGGAAACTTATTACAAGCTAAATGTAAAATTAATATGTAAATATGTCTTTCTGTGGCTATGACAAATAAAATATTTCTCAAAACTTTATAATTGATTCGTTCTTAAAAAAATCTTTTATGCTCTATTATTTTATATTATGAAATTTATAATCAAAAAACATAATACATACAATAAAATATTGTAATGAAATAATGCATTTATTTAAAACTTAATTGATCAAATTCTTTCAGATCTCCTCATGATATTGATCTTTATTCTGCTGGATTAGCTGAGTATTACGTGCCAGGAGGTTTTGTTGGCCCAACATTCGGTGCCATTCTAGGACAACAATATAAACGTATCAAATTTGGTGACCGATATTGGTTTGAACATGGAAATGAAGCTGGATCTTTTACGCAAGGTAAAAAATTAGAGAATACAAATAAATAAAAGTTCAATCATAAATTTACCATCTTTGATCGTACCAATTGAAAATTTTCAAATAGAAATTGAAATTCATTCTCGATTTTAAGTTATATCTAAAAAATTATGAGCCAATATGTGCATCTGAAAATTATTATTGACCCAACTTTCGTTTCCACATTTTAAGACAACAATCCAAACATTGATGGCCAATATTGGTTTGAACATGGAAATGAAGCTGGATCTTTTACACCAGGTAAAAAATTAGAAAATACAAATAAATAAAAGTTCAATCATAAGTTTACTATCTTTGATCGTACCAATTGAAAATTTTCAAATTTAAATTGAAATTCATTCTCGATTTTAAGTTACATCTAAAAAATTATGTGCCAACATGTGCATCTGAAAATTATTATTGACCCAACTTTCGATTCCACATTTTAAGACAACAATACAAACATTGATGACCAATATTGATTTGAACAACAAAACGTAGCTGGATCTTCTTACACCAGGTGAAATTTGAGAAGAAATATTTAAAAATCCTGCCATCAATAATTTCAAACTGTGGATATGGCAAGAGGAAAAAAGAACTGAAGACATTAATCATATATCAAAACTTTTTTTCTTTAAAATTTGAAGTTCTTGATTTCAAATTGAATCTTAAAATTGTGTGCAAGGTTGTTTTGCTAGCCCAATATTCAGTTTGTTTTTAGGGCAACAATATAAACGTATCAAATTCGGTGACAAATATTGGTTTGCACATACAAATGAAGCTGGATGTTTTAGCAAGATAAAAATTGAAAAAAAAAATTTATGTATTGTGTTTCTGTATACAAATAAGGGTAAATATTATATTATCGCTTGCATCTTAGTTAATTATGCTATTAAACTAACCTTTTTATATTCATGAAAGTTACCAATGAAATATCCTAATTGATAAAAAAATTTTGTTACAATTTCAGAGCAACTTTTGGAAATAAAGCGATCTTCAATTGCAAGAATATTTTGTGAAACAACTAGGATACGAAAAATTCAAAAGAAAGCATTCAGACCGCCATCAGCAAAGTAAAAATTCAATTGTTCTTCCTTATTCACTTGTTTTAACACAAAACTTATATTCTGTTTCTTTTTCATACGAGAAATATATTTAAAGGAAAAGATTCTAACGTTCCTAAAAAACAAATGATAAATAGTTTCTAAGTATTATTTAATTTGATCGATTTTCTCTTAATTTTAAAAGCGATATATTTCATTATATTAAAAAATTGTTAGGGCCGCCACTGATTTGGGAATTCAACTTTACGTTACGTTTCGTTTTGCTTTGTAAAAACTGTAAGACTTAGAAACTTGAAATTACTAAGGTGTAAAGAAAAGTGTACAGTGATTACGATGAAAGAAAAAAAATAACATTCTATAATTAACTCAAAAGTTTTTAACTGTTAAACTTGTTAAGAAAAGTACCGTACTGGCAGCTCTACAGGTCCCAGGAATACTGAGTTAAAATTTGGCACACTGAAAGGGTCATATTTGATTATAAACTTAACGCAGAGCTTTTATTCTCGAAGTTTCAATTTACTAAAACGTTATGTTGTTCTTGTTGTCGTCCGCCATTAGGGCAGAGGAAGTGCGATTGTTCTTGTTTTCCAGTGGCCAAGAATTCGACTTCTGCCACACCTATACGTCACACACGTTTATACGACGAACCCAGTCATACATCCAGTCATTCATACACAAATCGTAATTTTGACCTAAACTAGAGAACGATCCATCTCCAATTCAGTACCTCCATAGGTATTGATTTGTAATAAGGACATGGAAGACTTTGTGACCCGACATATTTAACGTGCACCAGTCACCATTTACTGTACGGGGAGTCTCGGGCCGACTGGATTTGAACTCTCTTTCTCACAAACGTAAGTTCAGTTCCCTGCCAACCAGGCTACCCCGGTACACTAAAAATAATTTTTTTTTTTTTTTTTTTTGCAAATGTTTGTCACTTTTTTTTTTCTTGGTTTACTTTAACTTTGCCTATCTGTTCAAAATCTGCAAAACTTTAAAATTACGAAAGTGTGTAGAAAAATGTATCAGGAGTTCACTGGAAAAAAAATTGCTATTTAATTATTAGTTCGAGAATTATTAACTGTTCAAAGTGTAGTAAGATAAACCGTAATAGATCTTCTGTCCGCTGAAAGGAAGCTACGGAGTTGACATTTGACATGCTGATAGGACCAATTATAAACTTGAAAAGAGTTTTTTTTTCCCTCGAAATTCCAATCTGTTCAAAATTGCAATTTAGTTTTGCAATTTTGAACTATTAGCAATTTAGTTTTGTTACTATTGCAATATTGTAGTTTTTTTGGAGGGCATTTTTTTCTTTAAATAATAACTATTTATCCAACGTGCTATAAAAGTGTATCCCTTCTGATTTTTATTTCATAAGCTCACGCTTAACTTGATGTGAGATGTAACATAAAAAAGAATAACTAAAAAAAATAAGAGAGATTAAATGTTGCCAGATATAAATTTCTATGTTCATATCGAATACAGATGAGTGAGAAAAACTGTTTTGAACAATGCGTTATATGTTATATGACAAAGGTTATCGTAATATATTGTTAAAAAGCAAAATTACTTCTCATTTATTACTTCTTATTGTGTCGCACATTCTGAATTCCTTAGTTTAAGTTTTTTTCAAGTTGATTACTATTAAAACAAGCTATTCTAGCATTTCGTGTCGATTATTAGCGTATTATTAAAATATACTTAGACAAAATTATAATTATTATATACGTTATAAACAAAATTATCTTTCTTATGAATTTTAAGTAAAAAGACTTTTGTAAAGATGAGGGGGGAAGAACGGTAATTCTGAAAAGCTAATTCTGAGAAAGAAAAAAAAAACTGGCTCACGGACAGGAACTCTACAGCACGGTCCATCTTCACTATGTATTAACTCTCGGCAGAAGCCGATTTTTCCTGTTTTTAATTTTTCAAAACTTAGTAATCCTCAAACTCACTAGATGACAATCCAATCGTAATTTTTGTAAAAAATGACATAAACAGTATTTCCCTCTTCATCTACAATAATGAATGAGAATCAACCACGGGGGTAGGTGAACGAAGTGAACAGGGGGTGGGGCTTACTAGTAAGTTAAAATTATTTCACTTTTACTGACATTTATGTTTACTTAAAATATGCATACCATTTCCCCTGCAATATATGTAGCAAAACCATACGAAAGCTGTTCATAGAATATTTATAAATTGGATGTATTTTACTTGAATTACTTTCTTTTTTGGAGTTTTATAGACCACACGTGAATAATAATTTAAGATCTAATACTAGATTTTAAAAACCAGTGCACAAATATTAAATCACAATAAAATTAATATATATAATGTAATAGCAATAAAACTTATACACTACAACATAGATTACTTTTTACTTAAACCCCACCACATTATTAAAAAAAAAATTTTTTTCCTAGTCTTTCAATTTATTCCATTTTTTAATTTCTACAAATCGTAATTTTTCAATCTTTTTTTTTTCCTAAGTAAAATTTAAGGATTTTAATAATAGTAAAATATTAACTATTTCATATTTATTTATTTATTTTTCAAGGACACATTTTGTCCCAGAATAGACGATTGGGGACGAATTATTGTAGATTTCTCTTTTTACTGTACTCTCATTTATCTTTACGTTGCCGCATTAAACGATTGTATCTGCCCTTCATATTTTAATTAATGAAAAAGTAACATCACTAAAGTTTACTAATGTATTTATATTCTAATTATTCCGTAAAACATCGAAAAAAATGCAATATTTTTGATAATGTATCAATTGTTTTGCTTTGTTTCCCCGAGAAGAGAAGAATGGTGATAAGCAAATTACGGTTACCGCCATTGATCCTTTAATAACTGTAACAGCGGTGGATCATTTTTACTTCCAAACATACGACAATGTCGTATGACAATCGCAAACAATGGGATACTTGCAAGTGTCGTTGTGTGGGTGTCTCGATCCTCAGATCCTCATTGGTTGTTCAAACGTGGGATTTGTTCACGTTAGCAACTGTTTTTACCATTTTATTTCGAGCAAGCCAAGTCCGTCAGAATAAATTCTGTCTGACAGTAAAAATTATCTTAAGTGACACTTTCTATATTTATTCTTACACAAAGATTTCAATTCTTTCACAATATATTAGGAAAGTATTTTACTTAGCACAAAGTGAAGCATGAAGTCATGTAGAACATAAGCGAACTAATTATGCACTGAGGTTGCCAGGTGCACAAGGCAAAAATATATTACGGTTGCAATAAAATACAGAAACAAATAATAAATCTGAGTAACGAGAAATACGTAGACGGGAAAGTATAATGTTTCAACAAATTCAATGGGTGATGCAGTTAATTAACTTCCCGTTAATTAACATTCTAACTTATGTGGAGAAACTTAGTTCAACTTTATGACGCCATTTTGCTTATAAACGATTAGCTGGCGTCATAGGTCACGTGTGTTTCTGTCGTGATCTTCTTCTTCTTGAAGTGCAAGTACCCAGTTAGAAAGAAAAAATATGTTTCTGTGCACGAATTGAAATTGTGCTTCAACGTGTTAAAATAAAAAAAAATACACGTTGAGCTGATTTTTAGTATATGTTTTAGTTAAAAAATTTAGAGACCTTAACAAGTTGAGCATCGCGTCAGCCATCGGTGGCTGACACTGGACTTTCCATTTAGGCTGCGTTAACCACCGGTGGCTGACACTGAAATTACATTTAGGCTGCGTCTGCCACAGCTTGCTGAGACGGACCTTTCACATAGACCGCGAAAAACAGCTGGCTGACAGCGTATAACATGATATAAAACTATAAAATTTACACTCTTTTATGGAATTGCAGAAAATTTATTCAAAATTTACTTAATTATTGTGATTCTTGGTTTAATAAATTCAATTTAGTAGATTTTTATCCACCACTATTTCTACATAATTCGTAGGCTTATATAGTTCACCGCTTTTGTCAGATATGTCGTGATAAACCTTCGAAAAAAATAGCAAAATCCGTCTAATATTTGCAATTTTAGTTTGTAGTTAACTATACTGTTTGGCCAAGCGGACAAGCCATGTAAAATTAGCGTGGCGTTCAACGCGTTAATTATCAATGTAGAATCTATTAAACTATTTTATATACTACAATAATAAAATTGCTGTATTATTTTTATTTTTAGAAATCCTGTTGTTTCTTGCGAGGAGATTCATAGGTTTAACTTTGAGTTATGGAGAGAATAAGTTGCCAAAGTTCTTAAGGTAGATTGTAATATATAAAGTTTTATATAAGAACACATTATATTTTGTTATGATAATCATATTAATTTTGTTTTGTTTTTTCAGGTCCAAATAACTACCACAAGGATCATTTGGAAATTGTTGTGGATTTGTCTATAAATATGTTTTTTTGCACAGTTTACTGAACTTGTAAAATTTATTGTTTGATATTTTTTTATTTAATAAAGAGTTTCATAAAGTCAAGTTTTCTTTGTTTGGGTTGATTTATCAATAAAGGTAATTTTCAAAGATTAAAGTATGGTTAATATTTTACAAGGTAATTTTTAAACGAATTGTATGATTCGAAACGAACTGCATGATTACGTTCAACAGTATTATTAAATCCGATAATTAATTGCCTAGATCTATTCATATAGATTTATTTAATGCTAATCAATGAACTTAAAAGTAATTTGTCAACTAACCTACGAAATTTATGCAAACCAAGCTCGCTTCGCTCGCTACTAACTTAGGTCCATTGCAAATGCACAAAATTCTAAGAATTCAAAACAATCATTCAAATCCATATAGCAACTTTTTTTAAAAAAAAAAATTTGCATCATTTTTAGTAAATACTAATTCATTAAAATAAATTTGAATTTAAATAAAGACTCATTGACCGAAACTCATTTTTCAATGAATAACTAATAACAATATTAAAACAAAAAAATTCGTGATATAAATCAAAAATCGTCAAATAAATTCGTAATACATCAATTCGGTAAAAAAAGCGCTTTCGACAAAATACTAAAATAGAGATCTATCGACAAAGACTACTCACTTCTGCCTGGCTTAATAGTATGATCCAGGCTAAACTCGATCTGCCGTCAAGCTCTGGTATGAGATTGTCGCAGCTGAATTGTTATTTCAGTTTCCGTTTTTAAATGTGTTGAGCCACCGTTCCGTTTTCAGTTCCGTATTCAGTTTCCGTTTTTAAATGTGTTGAGCGCTATGTGTTGAGCCACCTCAACTAGATTTGGCATGTGACATTTTCAGCGACAATCATTAGTCGATTTTCTAGCGTTGCCATTCGGTGAGTTGTAATGAGGCTTTTTTTTTTGTCGTCGTGTAAGAGAAATATATAGAATTTTTTTTTCATATGAAATTGCAATACACTCTATTATCATTTTTTAACGGGTTGCTTTTATAGTCACGAGCATCAAAATTGAACAGTTCGTAAAAGTATCTGAGAATTTTAATGGAGGTAATAAATTACCAAGATCGGTTTAAATAGTTGCTTTTATATTTAAAAACTTACTAGATTTACAATAAATGTTTGAAACGCCGTCCTCTTTCGCAAATACCACAACGAGATCATTTCCCGATTTAGAAAACAGATTTAAGATCTTACAATAAATGATAAAACTGCAGTTGTCCTCGTTCATGTTCGAAATGTCGCAAACCATATTATTTGTGTTGGTTTCCGAAAATTTTAAAACTTTTGCTTATATTTGCATTTGAAAAATAATCCTGTTGCCCGTATCTTGCACTATATACCCACATATAAAGTTATTTAACTTATATCAATCATAAGAATCGGACAGATCAATCTTATTTAAGAAGTTAACTAGAAATATTTGACCTTAGTTATTTCTAAACAGCACAAGTAATCGCTTTAAACAAAATTCATATGGAATTCTGATCAAAGCGATTTCTTGTGCATGTTTCATCTAGTACAAAATGTTGATAATTTTAAACCAAAGAATTAAAAAAACTGATGTTCAAATTAGCAGTGTGTCTTACTTTAAAATTTCACTAGTTCTCACACCTATCACTAGTGTCTCGTATATTATATTTTTTAATTATTACAATTAAAAAAATCTCTCCCTAAACATACAAATATAAGTATAATTAACTCGAAATAAAAAATATTGAGCTATATAGTATAAATACTACTTCTTAAAAAGTACGTTAAAAATATCAAAGTAAAATTTAAATTTGTGACCTTAATCCCAGAGTTAGATTGCGTTTTGCGTAATTGCGCAAAATAATGAAATATGTAGCTCTGAAATTATGTATTATAAATAGCGGACTCCCTTTGCACGCTTTGCTCGCCAATATCCACACGGAGAAAAAAGTTCTCCTAAAATTACGGTAATGCATGATAAGAACATATCTGGCAGAAAAAACCATAATTCTAGCAATAAAACCAAAATATATGGTATTTATAAACTATTCATTTGGTAATTTTCCTCTCAGATGGTGAGGTATTAGCTCCCTTACTCTCATCACTTATCAATCCCTACGATTGCTTTGCAATAATCTTTTTTCCTGATGACTCCAAGTGAATGCTTTAAATGCTCCCAATGAATGCTTTAAATGCTCCCACAATATCTTATTAAATTTCCACTTTAACAGAGTTTGAGTAAGAAAAATTAAAACAAATTATTTTTTCACGGTTACCATAGAAATTTCTTAAACAAACTTCCTTCTTACATTCATTTTTAATTTTTTGAAAACCAGAAAAAAAATTATTTAACTTTTTTCGTGGGAAAAAGATCATTTAGCATTAGGGCAATAAGGTAATTGTGAGCAATATTTTACAATTTTAAATAATTATCTTATTTTTCTCGTTTTTCATGCGTTTTTTTATTATAAATTATGTAACTTATTGAAAAGTAAATATAACTAACTCATTTATCATTTAATAATTGTAAAATAGGGTATCTAAAGATGTGTGTCATATGCGTGATAACGTTATAACAACTGAACATTAATTTTAGATTTTTGTCTTTAATTTTAGATAATAAATAAAATCAAAAACATAAAAATAAAAGCAGAAGAGCAAAATTTTAGAAAAAATTACACACGTCGAAAAAAATTCGTTAAAAATTACCGTACTTGTGTGGGAATGACATTTAAGGTAAAAAAAAAAATATATGCACTATTTAAACCCTTCATTTCTTAATTTTTTCGTTAGTTTGGTAACGGGATTTACATGAAATTCTGGTTTATTAATTATAGTTTTAATTGCAACACGTTTAGTAAAAATACGAAACTTAAAAGTAAACTTCATCAAATAAATGATTTTTACGCCATGGTGAGAGAATAATTCTCTAAGGCAGGGGTTGCCAAACTTTTTTGATCGTCGACCCCTACATAATTTTTCGAAATCTCCATCGACCCCCATAAAAGTAATTTTCTGTTAATTAAAATAAAACTCTATTAGATACTGTGTTTGTACATTTATTTTATGATTTTGAACATTTATTAAAGTAATAGTACATAGTGTAACAATAGTTTTATGAAAAATATATTAATGTTGAAATATAAATACCTTAATATTTATGAAATAATAAGTAATTATAAGTAAGTAGAAATAATAAGTAAAGTAACTACGGATTTATTGCTTCTTAATCAATGACATGGGTGTGCCTGGTGTTTTTTTTTCTGCAAGGTTCGTTATATTGGGTTCAAAATTGGTCAATTTTAATCTTAAATCCCCTCGAAACTCCACATTTAATTTATTTCTGTTCTTAGTTAAGATTGAATTTACGTGACTGAAACCGGCTTCAACCATATAGGAACTTGGAAATGCTATCATAAATGGCTGAGCTATTTCGTAAAGTTTTACATATTTTTGCATTATATTTATATTTGTCCAAAATTTGCTTATTGTTAAATTTTTAAAAAGCGTCTTTGCTTCAAATCCCCATAATAATTCAGCAAGCTCATCTTGCAGGTTGATGTCCACGTTTTCAATTTGAGCAGAAAATGGCACAATAATCCAATCAGGGATGTCAATGTTTTCCAAATCAACAAAACGCAGTTTAAAATCGTCGCTCAATTTTTGAAGATTACCTGTATATATTTCCAAGTCTTCTTCTTTTATTTCTAATTGTCACATATCTGAAAAATACTGATAATCCTTCGACCAATCGACCCTTCCGGTTCGGATCGACCCCCATTCGACCCCCTGGCTCAGATCGACCCCCGCTTATGTTAAATAGACCCCTGGGAGTCTATATAGACCACTTTGGCGACCTCTGCTCTAAGGTATCGAGATAAAATTACCAAATTTTAGCACATTTATTACCAAACAGGATAGTAATAAACCATATTTTATTATTAATTTTACTAAAAGTCCTTAACAAAGCGTTTCAGTAAACATTACCGTGCTTTATGGTGTTCCCATGGAGACAGAATCTCGATAAATTTTACCATATACAGTTAAACCCCGCTATAGTGAACCTTCAAGGGACCGAAATTTAGGTTCACTATAACCTGAAGTTCATTATATCCGTACTGAAAAAAATTTTAACTAATTTTTCCAAACTGCCCACATTATTTAAATAAATGAATCAATTGACCAATGAAAAGAAATACAAAAATGATTAAAAATCAATATGTTGTAACAAAATATGTGTTAACTTTTATTTTTATTACTCTTCGTCTTGTGTACAAAAAATTTAGGGATGGCTTTTACTTAGGGATGGGAAACTGAGATAGAAGAAGCTAACAAGAAAGAATACTTATGCCTACATTCCACTTAATAGATGGTTTTAATAATAGATATGTGTATTTTATGTAGAAACTTCAAAATTACCAAAAAATGAAGAATAAAAATCAGTCGAAGACAGAAAAAAGTTCATAATATCCAATTTCCTCTGTTCTTTTGGTTCACTATATCCACACAAAAATATTATTATATGGGTATAGTAAGGCACGGGAGCGAACATTTCATTCACTATATCCGGAAGTTCACTATAAACCATGTTATGTCAAACCATAACGAGGTTTGACTTTAGTAGTATTGACCATATTTTTTTTTCAATGTGAATAAAAATTGCAGAAAAATACTGTCAGTCATAGAAAAAATATATAATTTATGCTCAAATATACTTATATTTGCGCATAAATTATTATATAGAGTTATATAAGAGTAAAATACTCTTAATTTCATACTGATGATAGCTACAGGTATCAAAGTCTTTTTAATATTCTTTTTATGTCATAGGTCTAACAGATTTTCATTGGTTGAGGCATTATAAAATAAATTCTTTATACATGACTAACTATACATTAAATAATTGCATCTAATCATTCAATCATGTAAATGTAATTTTACCCTACAATCCTTCATTTCATAAATTAATATAAAGATTCAAAAATAAAACATTGCTTCAATTGCCTATTCGAAGGTCATGTTTAAAATAACATTAAGTTCAGATCAAGTTAAGACAAGATTCAAGTTAAGATATCAAAGTCTTTTTAATATTCTCTTTACGTCATAGGTCTAACAGATTTTCATTG